CGCCCGCCGCGGCCTCCCGCCGCAGCGCCCCCTCCGCCTGGGCACGGGATGGCGCTCGGCCCGCGGCCTGGACCTGACCCGCTGCCGGACCCTGGCCGGTCCCTGACGCTCCCCTAGCCGCCCTTTCCCCTTCTGCACAACGAGGGAGCAGCAGCTGCGCGCTCAAGGGCTCTTCCTATCCTTCAGAAATCAAATCATTTGTTGGGCGTCCACTGTGTGCCAGGACCGGTGCTAAACGCCGAGATTCAGGTGGAGGACTTCGTGATCTACTTCTGGCCATCTGTAATTCCAGGGCCAGGCTTTGGCCATCTCTGAGGACTGAGTGGACAGGCATTTTGGGGGGGGGCAGGCAGGCGTGGGGGTGGGGGACAATTTGCTTGGAAAGCCAGGGGTTTCTACTGCCTTTAAGTTCAACGTGCCCAATGGGTGTGTGTGGCACACCCCTGGCCTCCCTGACCCAGCTCTGTATCCTGGGCCCAGACGCAGGGTTAAGTAAGAATCACCAGATGTAGTGGTCACGCCTGAGGGCTCCAATGTTTTTTCAGGAATTCTGGGTGCATTCATTTTTCACTGCTGTGTAACAAATTACCATAAACTTAAGGCTTAAAACAACGCACAATGTTTTCTCATGGGTTCCAGGTTAGGAGCCCAGGAACAGCTTAGCTGGGTCCTTTGCTTAGAGTCTCACAAGACTGCAATCAATGTGGCAGCCAGGCTGCATTCTCATCTGGAGACTCAGCTGGGGAAGAATTCATTTGCAAGCCCATTCACATTGTTGCCAGAATTTATTTCCTTGTGACTGTAGGACTGAAGGCCTGGGAGTTTTGCTGGCTCTCTGCTGGAGGCCTCCTTCAGGTTTCAGAGGCCACCTGCAATTCTATAGATTACCATAGTTCCTTGCTGTTGGGTTGGATCACAGACCGTTCTACCCTGTCCTGAGTCAGGTAAGCAAAAGAAATATTGAGTAGCCGCCAGCAAAATGGATATGCTTTACTCTTCAGACGGGAGCTCTGCCGACCAGCGGTTCAGAGCCACTGCCTTCCATACCAAAAGTACATAATAGCAGCAACAAGCCAAAGGGTACACGGGCGTGCATGTGCACTAACTGTACTCTTAGGAAACTTTTTTACAAAGGATGTGCTGAATCATACCCAGCCAGATATGAGGTGAGAGGGCCTGACTAAACTAACTGCATTTTCCTCACACTCCACACTTTCAGGGTCTCTTCCCATACAATGTACATGTCTGTGATCTTCTGCAGTGTTCCTTTAGCAAGGATGGATGACGCTTGCATCCATATAACTTCTGTCCTTATTGTATATTCAATACACTTTGAGGCTTGTCCCTGCAGCTCTGTCCTCTCAACTATTAGCCACGAAAACCCCACCCATACATATGTCCAGTTAGTAGTCATCATTGGGGTGATTTTCCACAGGAATCCTGCAGCCACACTGGTAGGAAACTCGGTGCATATTCAGCAAGCTGACACATTGGCCACACAAATGTATATATGTGTCCAGTTGACTCTGATGCCCACAGCCACAATACTATGGGCAAAAAGACAAAAAAGTTATTGGCACCAATAGGGGGAGTTCTCATCCCTCTGGCAAAATACATGCCAGCTTACCATCCTGGAAAGAACGCTTAAAGGAACAGGTGCTGCAGCTACGCAACAGAACCACCATTGGAGTGGGCCCACCCTTGTGGGGCCTCTAACTTAAGATCCTGACTCTTGGCCATAACCACCATGTCCACCCCTTCAGGGATGGGTGTTAGGCAGATAGACTTAGTCCCTTTTTTAGAAGACCATTGTAGCGTTCAGTCATTCCCACTGCCTGGGGATGATACGACACATGTAACGTCCACTGAATGGACCACTGAGAAGCCCACTTCTATACTTCACGTCCAGTACAGTGGGTTCCATTATCACTCTCTATGACCAGGGGCAGACCATACATGGCTGTAATAGTGCTTACCTGGTCTGGGGCCTTACTAGACCATACAAACATAAGACCAGTAGCCATATCAATGGCTATGAAGATATACCTGTAGTTCTCTGACTTTGGCAGTGATCACACAAGATCCACCTGCCACCATGTTAGGAGCATCCTCCTCTCGGTTTTCTGCCTATCTGCATGTGGCACCTAGCAAGCCATCAAGGGTACATCTGCCCATTGGGGGCATTCTTTCTTGGGTTTATGTGGCACCCAGTGGGCCATCAACCACACAGTCTTGCATCCAGCATGCTGCATTCTCCATTGTAGCCACCCAGCTACATCAGCTGCTGGAGCTCTCTCCAGCCATCTTACCTTAGCCAGTGCATCAGCTTCATCATTGCCTGGACTGGCTAAGAAGAAATGTCCTATGTCATGGAAAAGATTTACTTCCTTTCGATGTCCTAATTCCCATAACTCTTGCCACATGGCTTGTCCCCACAGGGGTCAGTGACCTACTAGCCACCGCTGATACTTCCAAGTAGTTATCCAAAGGGTAAGACCCTTATATACAACCCACTCACATTGTTCCAAATGACCTAGCAGCGCTGCAGCCGCCTTGTTTAAATCTGCAAGAGAATCAGAGGTTAGTAAGACATCATCTATATAATGAAACATTGTAACCATGCTGGACTAGGTCCCCAGCCACTAAACCATGACAGATGGTTGGGCTATGCAGGTAGTCTTGGGGCAACATTTGAAAAGTCCAGTGCCTTCCCTCCGAGGTGAAGGCAAATTGATCTTGGCTATCAGCTGAGATCGGGATAGAGAAAAAATCATTTGCAAGGTCCAGTACATAATGATGAGTTCCTAGGTGAGTCATCAGCTGATCTGTCAAGTCATGAACCTGTGGAGGGTACTAACATTAATAAAGCACATGTATTTCACAGGGCTTTAACCTTCAGCCTAGTAGGGCCACAACCCTTATATTAGTAGGACCACAGTCCTTAGATCAGGCTATAGATTAGTAGGACCACAATCCTTAGTTTTAGAAGGGCCAAAGCCCTTTAGTTTATGCTATATGCTATATAATGGGGCCACAGCCCTGTAGTTTTAGCAAGGCCAAAGCCTTGTAGCTTAGGAATAGTTTAACTTTTTAGTATTGCACGTAGAAATGCTAAGCTTGGGAAAAAAACAGAAAACTTTCACAAGACTAAAAAGTGCTTGCTCTAAGGGCAGATGTCCTTGGTGCAGCTAAACCTAATTATGGGTAAACCTAATGATGGGAAAAATATGTGAGTTAAAATCTTCAAGGCTACTCTGCCAATTAGTGGTTGGTTCCACATTTCACCTTCAGCTGTTTCTCTAAGCTTCCTAGGGAACTAAGTGTTGCCATAACAATTATCTCATTGGTTCTTTTGTATGTCACATAGCTTAGTTTTATGACTCCTTTGATGGTAAATTGCTTAAACTATTTTTTTTTAAAAGATGACTGGTAAGGGGATCTTAACCCTTGACTTGGTGACGTCAGCACCACGCTCACCCAGTGAGCAAACCGGCCATCCCTATATGGGATCCGAACCCGTGGCCTTGGTGTTATCAGCACCACACACTCCCGAGTGAACCACAGGCCGGCCCACTATTTTTGCTTTAATGAAAATTGTCATGTAGCCAGTTTGTTTATGTTTTCACTATGACTGATTAACCACCTTTGTTCTTTTCTGTAACTTTCTTGGCTGGACAATAAAAATGGAGAGAAAACCTAGTTTGGGGTTATTTTCCAGGAATTCCTTCTCTCTTGAAGAAGTTGTCTCCTGGAATTAACCCCTTCTGGGCCTCTCACTGCTCTGGAAAAATGGGTTTTGAGTAATCCTTTGCATCTCCATCATCCTGGGGGAGAGGTGACATGAACCGAAGGCACAGCTGTGTGCAAAGGGGGCAGTACTTTGTTCAGTTCTTGATAGTGCACGGTCACCCTCCAGGTGCCATCAGGTTTTTTCACTGGCATATTGGGGTGTTAAAGGAACTGTGTGTGTGAGGAATGATGCCAAACTTTTCTAGCTCCAATATAATGGCACCTATCTCCGCACATCCTCCCAGCAAGTGATACTGTTTCACATTGACCACATGCCTTGGCTTGGGTAACACCTGTGGATCATGCTTGACATATCCCCGCAGCACAGGCTTTACTGTCCATATCTGTAGCTAGAATTCTCCAACCATTGTTTGCAGGTGTAACCCATAAAGCACATCTATACCCAAGATGTGTTCAGATACAGGAGATATACACACAGTATATACATGAGGGGGCAATCGTCCAATTCTCAGCAGCAAAGACACAGCTTTGACTGTAATAGAATGTCCTCCATAACCATCAACATTCACCGTGGCCCCTAGAAATTTATTTGGGTTGCCACGTATCAAGCTTCAGTCTGCGCCGGTATCCACCAATGCTAACACACGCTGTACATTTGTCTCAGACTAATGTATTACCAATTCAGCATCAGGCCTCTGGTCCTCATCTGCCCCAAAAAGATGAGTGCGTCGGCCTGGTCCCTAGCCAAAAGAAAACAGTCCATCCACCTCCACAGAAGTAACCAAAAAATCTTTTAAATTCACCGGACATACCTTGCCACCTGTTTCTGGATGTTTAGTGAAATGCTGTTTGGGGTGCAATTGTTGCCACAAGGCAAACAAGACTGCATTTGGTTGCTAGTCAATTTTTTCCCTATCAACTCCTGCCATAAGCATGTCAAAAACCACATCTGCATATGGCTGGTCTTGCTTGGTCCCTTCAGGATAAAATCCCAAGCATTTCTTGGGGATTTGGGCTTCTTTTTATTTATTTAATTTAATTTTATTTTATTTTGTTGATATACAATTTGGTTGATTATTGTGGCACGTTACCGAAACCTCCCTCCCTCCTCTTCTTCTCCCCCCTCCCTCCCAACAATGTCCTTTCTGTTTGCTTGTTGTATCAACTTCAAGGAATTGCAATTTTTATGTCTTCTCCCTGCCCCCGTTCTTTGTGTGTGTGTGTGTGTGTGTGTGTAAATTTATTTATTTATTTTTAGCTCCCACCAATAAGTGAGAACATGTGATATTTCTCTTTCTGTGCCTGACTTTTTCACTTAATATAATTCTCTCTAGGTCCATCCATGT